GAGAGGGCCACCCATATGACCTCATTTTACCTTAATCACCTCTTTTAAAAAATATATTCATTTATTTTGAGAGAGAGAGAGAGTGAGTATGGGAGGGGCAGAGCGAGAGAGGGAGAGAGAATCCCAAGCAGATTCCATGATGTCAGCACAGAGCCCGATGTGGGGCTCAGTCTCACAAATAGTGAGATCATGACCTGAGATGGACAGGAGTCAGACACTTAACTGACAGAGCCACCCAGGCATCCCCTTAATCACCTCTTTAAAAGCTCTCTCCCCCAATACAGTTACATTCTGAGGTACTGAGGGTTAGAATGTCAAAGTCTGAATTTAAGGGTGAGGGGCTATCAGCCCATAGCAGATGATGAAGGTTATAAAGTGCAGGGGCACTTGGGGAGCTCAGTCAGTTAAGTGCCTGACTCTTGGTTTCAGCTCAGGTCATGATCCCAGGGCTGTGGGATTGAGTCCTGTATTGGGTTCCACGCTGAGGGTGGAGCCTGCATAAGATTCTCACTCTCTCTTTCCCTCTACTCCCCTTCTCTGCTTGCACTCTCTCTCTAAAAATAAAATAAATTAAAAAAAATAAAGTGATATGTACAATGGGAAAAAGCAGAGTAAGGGGTTGAATGTGTGTTTCTGGTACAGGTTGTAGTTCTAAATAGGGTGGTCAGGGTGGGGTCTCTGAAAAGTTGACATTTGAGCATGACCTTGGAAGAAGTGGAAGGACTGAGCCACACAGACATCTGGGGAAGAGCATCCAGGTAGAGGGAAGGGCCAGCGCAGAGGTGAGACCCTGTCTGATGTATCCCAGGGAAGAGCTAGAAGCGAAGGGTTGGTGGTGGGATAAGCAGTGAGGACAAAATGGGAAAGCCAGTGGAGTTGGGGGCCAGGTGACCATGGGCCATTGTAGGACTTTGACTTTGAGTTTACAAAACCATCGTGAGTCACATCTACAAGGAGGCTGCCATCAAAACAAAATAAAATGCCACCCCCCCCCAAAAAAAACAGAACATAGCAAGTATTGCAAAGATATAGAAAAATTGGTACCTTGTATATTGCTGGTGAAAGTGTCAAATGGTGCAAACAACTGTGGAAAACAGTGTGCTGATTCCTCAAGAGATTAAATAAGAATTACCATGTAACCCAGTGCTTCCGCTTCTGAGGACACGCCGAGAATGGAAAGCAGGGACTGGAACAGAGAGCTGCGTATCCACGTTCACAGCAGCGTGGTTCCTAGCGGCCGAAAGCTGGGAACCACTCAAGTGCCCATCAACAGATAAATGAGTAAACGAAATGTGTTTGGCCTTACAAAGGAAGGGCATTCTAACACATGCTACAACATGGATGGATCTTAAGGACATTATACTAAGTGAAACAAGCCAGTTACAAAAAGACAAATATGTTAGGATTCTATTTATATAAGGCCCCTAGGATGGTCAAAGACAGAGAGACAGAAACTAGAATGGTCATTGCCAGGGACTGGGGAGATGCGGAGTTATTATTTAATTAATGGGGACAGAGTTTCAGTTTAGGATGATAAAAAATGTTCCAGAGATTGATAGTGGTGATAGTTGCACACCGGTTTATAAATATATTAATGCCACTGAATTGTCCACTTAAAAGTGGTTAAGGTGGTAAAGTTAGGTGAGCGTTGACAGTGGTGTGAGCTCAGGTGGTAGAAGTTCTCCAATCCTGAATACACTTTGACATGAGGGTGAACAGTCAGATAGGATGGAGAAGATAAAGGGGAGTCCAGGATTTGCTCAAGGAACTAAAAGGATAGGGTCCCGTGAGTGGCTGTGTCGGTGAAGCATCTGACTTAGCTCAGGGCATGATTTTGCGGTTCGTGGGTTTGAGCCCTGTATTGGGCTCCATGCAGACAGCTCAGAGCCTGGAGCCTGTTTCAAATTCTATGTCTCCCTCTCTCTCTGCCCTCCCCCATTCAGGCTCTGTCTGTCTGTCTGTCTCTCTCTCTCTCAAAAATGGATAAACATTAAAACAATTTAAAAAAAGAAACCGGAAGGATAGATAATCACGTGGGCAAGATGGGGAGGCCTGTGGGGAAGACAGAGAGCTCAGTTTGGGACCCAGTACACTGGAGATGCCTAGTAGACGGAGCAGAGGAGTGGAGTGGAAATTTGGCACATGGAAGAAAGGAATCAAGTTCCGAGTGTGAGAGAGATGCCAGGAGTACTGATAACTTTGAGACTCATTTGCAGATAGAAGGAATTTCAAAGAGGAGCCTGGATGAGACCACCAGGAGCGTGAGTGTGGACACAAAGGACCTGGGCTGAGCCTGCTCCTGGAGGGGAGGAGGAGCCAGCCAGGGAGCTGGGGAGGAGAGGCCAGAGAGGTAGGAGGAGCCGGGGCATCTTGGGTTAACAACAGGCCCAGTGGCTGGTGATTGAAGCAGGAACAGGGAGGGCGGCCTCAGGGAGAGGGTCCAAGAGAGAACAGGAGGGGGAGACTGACGTTGGCAATTGAGATCGAGTTGACCGGTCAACTCTGCCAGGAGGTTCTGCTGCCAAGGGGAACTGAGAAGTAGGGCAGTCCTAGGGGAAGGAGAAGTGAGGTCAAGAGAGCACATTTGTGTTGATAGAAATGATTCCAGAGACCGTGAAAAGTTGCCGAGGAGAAGAGGCCGATTGCTGGAGCCACACCCTTGAGCAGGCAATAAATGAATATATATGAAGTGTGCATGTAAGTAGAGTGAGGGCACAGTGCCACTTTGGTAGTCTTTGTCAGGGGACATTTTAGCAGAACCCTGAAGGAAATGGGAGAGTGAGCCACAGGGATTCTGGAGAGAGAGCATTTCAGGAAGGGGCAGTAGCAAGTGCAAAGGCCCTGAGGTGGGACTGACTGGCATCCTGAAGGAACAGTGTGGTTGGACCAGAGTGAGTGATGGGAGACAGTGATGGGACCTGCAGAATCATACGGCAGACAGATCAAACAGAACCTAGGAGGCCATGGTGGGGACTTTGGGTTTTACTCTATGAGAGATGGGATCCATTGGAGAGTTTTGAACAAAGGTATGACAGACTCTGGTCTTAACAGGATCATTCTGGCTGCTGACAACAGAAGAGTCGGCAAGAGCAAAAGCCAGGCGAAGGCGTCAAGTGATCCAGAGGAGAGCCAGTGGTGGTTTGGGGGGAGCGTGTTCGCAGTGGAGGTGGGGAGAAGTGGCTGGATTCTCCATGAATCCTGAACGGGGCATCCGCAGGGTTTGCTAGTGCCTGGGGTGTGGAGTGTGGGAGACAGGAATGCAGGATGCTGCCAGTTCAGTTCAGTTTGGGCCTGAACAACAGGAAGGATGCATGTGGCCTTGACTGAGATGGGGAGAGTCTTACTTTCAACATGTCAAGTTAAGATGCTCCTGTGTCATCCAAGTGGGGTGTCAAGTGGCTGTCAGCTATAAATCTGGATTTTTGGGAGAAGTCAGGGCTGAGACATGTACACTTGGGGGTGGGTGGAAGGCGGAGGATGGCTTGTGTCGGACCAGATGAGCTCCCCTGAGAAGTGAGAGTGGCTAGAGAAGGAAAGAGTCTGTACGCCCCTCATGAAAATACAGACCCGAGAGACTCAGACCTGCCCTCTGACAAGGAAGGAAGTGGCCCAGAGCTCATCCAGGAAATCAGCTGGGCGGGGTCTGGAGAGGGCCTGCTCTCTGCCTGTGAGCTTCCACGTGACGTTAGGGAGGGGAGGCAGTTGGGTGGGCATGGCCGCCCACCGGAAGAAGCAGAGTTAGCCTATTTTAGGGAGAAAAGATCTTCACCTGAATCATTATTTGGGCTGGATGTGCACACTGTAGAGGTCCTGCGGGATGGAGTCTGAGAGTGGATGAGGGTCCCCAGAAACAACGCTCCGTAGGGCATCTGCTGGGATTCCCTTCCTTTACCTGCCTCACTGGGGCCGCACCGTTGGCTATGTGGCCACAGCTCTCACACGGCAGTTAGGATGGGCTGTGGGAATGTTCTATGTGCACCTGTATATATTAACTGACTTAACTCTCACTGTGACCCCAGGAGGGAGATGCCATTATAACCGGCCCCACGCTGCCCAAGAGGACACAGAGGCACAAGTGGAGCTGGGATTCGAACCCAAGTGCTTCCTCTGTTCCCTTAACCATTATCTGCTGCTACCTCCCAATGATGGGCAGTTATCATTAGCGGTAATAAGGACATTTATGGAGTGTGGTGCCTTTATGAGTTCATTTGATCCTTGCAACAAACCTATGGGATGCGCCTGTGAGTTCCAGTTTTTCAGAGGGGAGAGGTGACTTGCCCAAAGTCACAGAGCTGGTGCGAGGCCAAGCCAGGCCTCCAGCCCGGCCACTTGGTCTCCAGGGTCTCGGCTTGGCACCACATGCCTGCTCTGCTGCTGGTGGTGTCCCATGGGGATTTAGCATGACAAGGCTTTTTGGTGATGCTTAGAAGTGTAGGATAAGATTTAAAAGCTCCAGGTCCCTCTGGAGCCTCCTCTGGGCCCAGGAGTGCCTGCTGCCTCCCTCCTGGGCCTGGTGTTCAACTTCCTGGCCTTTCTTGCCCCGTCAGGACCTGGGGGGGGGGTGGGGTCACATGATTTGAACAAGATCTTGTTGGGAGAGTTCAGCATGACTCCCATTAAGCCTCATTTGGGGCTGAGGGGCAGCCCAGGAGGCAGGTGGAGGGAGAGTGCTCACCTCAGGCGTCACCCGGCCATCTTCATAGGGTGTGAGGACCCTTCCAAATGATCTCGAGGTCCCTTTCACAGACAGATGGGGAAACACAGGCCGAGTGAGGGCGGGGGACTTACACCAGGTCAACAAAGAGTCCCGCAGGGACAGGGCTTGGCCCTGGGTCTCAGGACTCCCCGCCTTGGATCAATCCTCAGCATCTTGTTGAACTTCTCCTTCTGGAAGGAAGTTGGCCTCACATACCCTACCTGACCCTTCCTGGCCTGCTTTTGGCCAGAGCCCTTGAGACTGGCTGAGGACCGGTTGCCATAGAGATGGTGGGGAGGGCAGTTCCAAGGCTGGCAGATGGGAGTGGGGGATGGGGCAGGACACCAACATGCAAAACACCCACCAACAGCTGATCAGGACGACTTCGGGGAGACCAGGGCAGGACACGCAGCTCCAGGCTCCAGTGACGACCACAGGGCTGCTCAAGTTTCTGGCAGACACCTCGCAGGCTGAGCAGGTGAGGGAGGCCCTGTAGGAGGACTTCCAACTGCCTGGAGGCAGGCTGGCTGCCTGGGGTCCACATAGGCCAGGGCTGCGGAAGGCCCTGGAGAAGCTATGAGATGGAGCCGAGGCCCAGATGAGAGACAGGGAGGCCCAAGGCAGGGCTGGAATCATAGGGAAGCCTATCAGGTTCAGGGTGAAGATGAGGAAAACACCCAGGGATGACTCTCAGTCTTCTGGTGGAGTGATTTGGGGTTCACTACAGGAGGGGGAGGGTTTGCGGGAAATCATGAGTTTCTTCCACCTTGACTTAGCAAATCCGGGACCCCATGGGGCATTCAGAAGAGCTGCCCATGGTGACAGATCTGGGCTCTGGAGACAGACTTACATGTTCAGGTCTTGGCTCCACATACAGGCTGGGTGACCTTAGTCAACTGATTTCCCCTCTCTGAGCCTCAGTGTTCTCATCTGCATGATAGGGGTAATAGTGGAATATAGGTTCCTTGGGAAGGTTAGATGAGTTAACACATGAAAATCCTGAGCACCCAGCAGGTTCTCAGGAAGTGGCAGTGGTTGCTATTTGAATACTAAGAACTGAGATGGTGATCAGTCAGTTATAGTGATAACAAGAGTCCAGGGGCACCTGGGTGGCTCAGTCAAGTAAGCATCTGACTTCGGCTCAGGTCACGATCTCGTTGTTCATGGGTTCGAGTCCCATGTCAGGCTCTGTGCTGACAGCTCAGAGCCTGGAGCCTGCTTTGGATTCTGTGTCTTCCTCTCTCTCTGTCCCTCTCCCACTTGCATTTTCTTTCTCTCTCAAAAATAAACATTAAAAAAAAAAGTCCAGGGGGCCAGCCAGGGTGCACAGAAGAAGGGGATCCCCTGAGGGAGGTGTGAGGTGGTCCAGGAGGCTGCTTGGAGCTGGGCCTCCTCTCCTGTCTTCGCCCAGTGGAGGCTTGGGAGTGGTGATGGTGTAATTCAGGGCCAGCAGCTGAGGTCTCGGAGTGCAGGACAGACGGCAAAGAAGGACCGGAAACCCAAGGCCCGGGACAGGAAAGAACATGGCTCTGCTGAGGCTGAAGAGTAAGCAGCTGTGTGACCGGCTGGGTGGGATGCTGGGTGTCAGGCCCCACTGGGGGCCCGCATCCTGACTTTGACCCTTGCCCCCTGTCCTGTCCTTCCTCAGTCTCATCCCCTCTACTCCTCGGAAACCCTCCTTCCCCTTCCAGTGGGCCTGGGAGAGCTTCTTCACTGATGGTCAGACCCTGCTTCGGTCTGGCCACCAAGCCCTCCCCTTGCCCCGAGCAGTCATCCAGCTCAAGGCCAGGCTCAAGTCCACAGCTGCCCACCCAGATGCCCACAGCTTCCGCTGGAAGACAGAGGTGCCAAACCTGGAGAGGACCCAACAGCTCAGGGCCTGGGGCTGGATCCCCATCCCTTCTGGCAAAGGGGAGAGCCAAGAACTGAAAGCCCCCAGTGAGTGTGACCTCCAGCCGCCTGGGAAGAGGTCAGGCTCAGGATCGGAGTCTGAGGAGGGTGCCGAGCTGGAAGCCTTGGGTGCTGAGGAGGCCGAGAGGGATATGAGTCCTGGCGAACTGCCCCAGCTCCTCAAGAAGGGGTCGTTCTTGGAAGAGGAGTGCTTTGCAGAGGTGACAGAGGAAGCCGAGGAGGGGGAGAACAGGGCCACCCGTAGAAGGAAGGCTGGTTCTCAGAGAAAGGGGCAGAGTTCTGGCGAGGACACCTTGGATGAGGGTGACCCACAGCACAAGAGCAGCAGCTCCAGCTCCGGCCTCCGAGGGCTGCAGAGGAGGAAGTCAAAGACCAAGGAGCTGGAGGAGCCATGGGGCCTGGAGAAGCTAAAGAGGCAGTTACAGCAAGAGTTGGACTGTGGTGAGTGTGGACTTCAGTGTTTGGGTCCCCGGGGAAACTACACAGTGGGGAGAGAGGCTGGGGAGCCAGCAACCTGGGCCAGGAGTTCAGACAGAGCTGGGCTGGGCTCCAGATACTGGGTAGGATCGCCCAATCGGCTGGGATGGGGCTACTCTCTGACTTGTCCCACTGTGGATAGGCCCTGAAAAGCAGCCTTGGAAGGCTTTGCGGGCTGCTGTCCAGGCCTCCAACCGGAGGGGGAAGACCTACCCCTTGGGAGATGAAGAGACTTTCCTGTCTGCCAACTTTCCTAACCGTACCTTCCACAAACGACAGGAGGCCACCAGGTAAAGCGGAAGAAAAAGGGGAATAGGAAGAAAGAACAGGAAGCAGAGAAGGAGCCAGTTCTCCAGAGATGTTGAATCATTCATCCTCTCATTCATTCCTTCATTATCCATTCTCCAATCTTTGGATCATCCAGTCTTCTATGGATCCATCCACCCACCTACCCATCCTCCCTCCCACCCATTCATCCATCCATCCCACTCATCCACCCATCTCTGTCTGCTTGGCCAGCCGTCTATTGATACAAGCCAGTTTTCATTCATTTCACCTCTTCTATCTCTCAATTAATCTATTAACCAAGTGATTAATCCAACATATATTGAGTATCTACTCATGGGTCCTCAGGATGTAAAGATAAAAACACTTGGCCCCAGCCCTAAGAAGCTCAAGGTCTGCTGGAAAAGGAGACAGAAGGGCAAGATAGCAATGAGGGCAGTAGAGTTAGACAATTGCTACACTTGGGGCTTGAACAAAAAACAATGGGAGCAGAGGGGGAAGCCTGGGAGGGGGGCACAGTTGCATTGTCTAGTGAGGGATGATAGGGGCCTAAACCAGGTGGTCATGTGAATGGAGAGAGGGGGGATCCATTTAAGAGATACTTGGGGGCTGGACCAGCAGGTCTTGGTGACTGGTTAGAAGTGGCAGGTGAGAATCCACTCAGCACTCTATGAGCACCCCCAATTCTTGCTTCCCTTGCTTCCCAGTATGCTTAGGACAAAGCCAATTCTTGGTAAGGAGGCTCCTGTCTCCCATGTCAGCCAGTCAGAGTGCTGGAATGCCCCATGCTCTCCCGCCCTTCTCTCCCAGAGCTGCCCCTCTTCCTCATTCACCTACGTAACTCGGATGCATCTTTCAATTTCTGAGTCAGGCACCCACCCTCCAGGAAGCTCTCCCCTGTGCTTGCCTCCGCCACAGCTTTGGCCACACGGCATTGCATTGGGGTGCTGGGGTACCCTTCTATTCCTGTGTACAGACTTAGAGCGCCCCGAGGACAGGTACAGATCTTACTGATCACGGCCTCTCTGGTGCCCTACACAGCACCTGGCACCTGTGAGTGCTGGTGCTCAACAAACATGTGAATGACTGTATCTACCCATTTATTTGTCCAACCATGATTGAATTCTGTATGACGTCACGAACACTGAGTTTCTGTTTCGATTAAGAACTGTTCTAAGTGCTGGGGATACACTGGTGGTGAAGAGGAGAGCTGAGGAACCCTGCTCTCATGAGGCTTACATTCTACTTGGGAAGAAGGATAATTAATAAAGAAATGAACAAGATATATCACTAGAGGCAGAAGGGGTGGTCAGGGAGTCTCTCTCTCTGACTTTTGGACAAAGACCTAATTGACAAGAAGGAACTGGCCATAAGAGCTAGGGGAAGACTGTTCCAGGTGGATCTAGGTGTTGTCTATTCAACCGTCCACACTATTCATCCATCCCATCATCCATCCATTGATCCCATCACCAATTTGTTTCTGTTTCCCATCCATTCATCTATCTGTCTGTCCCTCCAAACAAAAGGCATTAACCTAGTTCCTACCAGAGATGGGGGTGAGAGAGAACAAGATCTGGCCCCTGCCTTCAAGGAGAGCTGCTTTGCAAGGAGAAGTTAGCGATACAGGTGGGGTCACAGGTGCACCGAGTCCACAGGGCTGAGGATGTTCACAGCTGGGGCACAGAGCTGGCTGGAGGGGGAAGAGGCCTCCAGGAAGAGTAGGGAAAGGTTCCGAGGGGGGGCCTGAGGGCCAAGCCCCAGATGCAGCTCTCATCATGTCTCTCATCGTGGTGACAAACCCCATTCCCCAGGCCTTTGGCTCTCTGGGCTCCTGCGATCCCTCCCTCGGGCCCCCACACCCCACTACCTGCTCCTGGTTTCTGTTGAGACTGCTGCCTCCCCCAGACTTCTCCCACCCTCTTCTCTCCCCCTTCCTACCCAAGAAGCCTGTTGCAGGCCTGGGAGCGGCAGCAGCAGGAGGAGCAGCAGCGGGCCCAACTGCGGAGGGCCCGGGAGCAGCGAGTACAGCAGCAGGTGGCTCGCTGCCTGGCGGCCTATGCGCCCAAAGGGAGCCAGGGGCCGGGGGCCATCCAGCGCAAGCTGGAGGAGCTGAGGTAGGAAGCCTGGGGCTGGGGAGGCCCTGGGCGGGGGGAGAGGGCAGGGGAGGCAGTGGGAGAGATGTCAGATGTCAGACGAAGGACAAAGGAGACACAGGCCTCACCTTCCCTCGGGTCTGAGTCTCCACAACAGTCCTCCAGTCCCGGGAGGCAGGCCAGGCCACTGGGCAGCGCTTTGCAGATGAAGACACTGAGGCACTCGAGAAGGAGGGGTTGAGCCGAGGTCACCCATTTAATAACACCAATCCCTGCAGCTGTCAAAAGTTCACGGTCAAAATGTTCTACATTCGTTACCACTCGTTTTCTTTTCTTTCTTTTTTTTTTTTTAAATGTTTAATCTATTTCTAGGAGAGAGAGAGAGACAGCGTGAGCAGGGGAGGGTCAGAGAGAGAGGGAGTCACAGACTGAAACAGGCTCCAGGCTCTGAGCTGGCAGTCAGCACAGAGCCCGACGCGGGGCCCGAACCCACGAACCGCGAGATCATGACCTAAGCGAAAGTCAGACGCTTAACCGACTAAGCCACCCAGGCGCCCCATCGTTACCACTCGTTTTAATCTTGTTTTTCTGACTTCAAAAACCAGGGATGCTTATGACAAAAAACCTCCAATATTCCTGAAATAGCATAGCATGCAAACAGAGCCTGTGATCTCACCGTGGGGACAACTGTTGTTTGCCATCAGGTGAAGAGTCACCTGTTTTATTCTCTCCCTATATTTTAACCTTCAAAAGAAACAGGCAAACGTGTATTTAAAAGCAAATCTATTTTTGACTCATAACAGGACCATGTAGTGGGCATTAGCATCAGTCCGATAATTCGACAGAGGAGGAGGCTGAGCTCAGAGAGCCTAAATAATTTGCCAAAGATCACGAGTGAGCTGCAAAGCTAGGGTTCCAACTCGGGCAGCCATTTAGCCACGCCGCTACCTGGCTCCGGAGTGTTCGAATACCCAATCTGCGGATAAAGTGTGCCAACATCTTCCCCCTCAAAGCCCTAGCTAGTGAAACAGACAACACAAATAAATATGGCCACCAGTGCCGTTGACACTGAGCACCTACTGGATGTGGCTGGCAGCAGGGTAGATCTTTCCAAACTCATCTCCTTTCATCCTGGGAGAAGTGCGAGGTCAAGGTTGGGTGGAGTGCTGCGGTGAGACCAGAGGGCCTCTACCCTGCAGTGGGGCCGCCAAGGACTCAGTGGGGTTCTGATCACCTACTCTTCGAGGCTCAGTCTTATCATTCCCAATTTCAAAGATGAAACTAGGGCTCTAAGAAGCCAAGGGTATTTTAAAGGAATCCTTGGCCAGTGACGGAGGAGATGCCTTCATCTCGCCAGACCTCAAGTTCATTGTTTTTTTTTAATAAGGCAGGAAGCCTAAAGTTCAGAACTCCGAAGGACAGATGTGAGTGAGAGGAGTGTTTCCCACACACCTCTTTTATTTTCTACTTGAGAGAAGACATATGCCATGGGGTCTCTCAGCCCTTACAGTCTGTGAATTTTGCTCTCTCTGAGCTGCAAAAGACTGCCCTGCGCAGGAGAGGCGGGCTCAACAAAGGTCGCCCTGTGGTAGGAAGGCTATGTGACTTCCTTCCCTTCCCAGATGTTGGACAGGGCTGATATCCACTCACAAAGCTCCCTTTCTGCCTGGGTCTCCAAGACATGGACTTCTCTCAATTCTAACAAATAGCCTCAAGAATCAAGCAGGAAATGGGGCGCCTGGGTGGCTTAGTCGGTTAAGCGTCCGACTTTCGCTTAGGTCATGATCTCGCGGTTCGTGGGTTCGGGCCCCGCATCAGGCTCTGTGCTGACTGCCAGCTCAGAGCCTGGAGCCTGTTTCAGAGTCTGTATCTCCCTCTCTGACCCTCCCCTGCTCACGCTGTCTCTCTCTCTCCTAGAAATAAAATAAAAAAAAAATATTAAAAAAAATTAAAAAAAAAAAAANAAAAAAAAAAAAAAAAAAAAAAAAAAAAAAAAAAAAAAAAAAAAAAAAAAAAAAAAAAAAAAAAAAAAAAAAAAAAAAGAATCAAGCAGGAAAAATATGCATGACCTCACAGGCGAGACAGAGACCCGAATGCCAGCTCGGACTCCTCACCCCCACCCCCACCTTTTGTAGCTGCTGAAATTACCTCTTGAGTGCTGAAGACTCCATCTTGCAATAACTTCGTTTCCTGGCCATGGGTTTTCAAGTTCATCTCTTTTTCTCGAATGGAGGAGGGTTCCTTCCCTGGCACGTAGCCAAGGATCCTGGCCCCGCAAGGCAGTGTTTTTCCATGGGGCCTCGGCACATTTGCTAGAGGTCCCGAATGAGTCCTGGAGTCTTGTCTGCTTCTCCCCTCCCGTCCTGTGTGTGGGTGCTGCAACCAAACCCTGAGACCTCTCCTGCATGCTTCACAGGATTCCTGGCCCCATGTGTTAGCACGGCCGGCGGGCCCCTCCTGCTGCCAGGATACCTGGCTTGATGAGCAGACACATTTCAGCCAAGTCACAATCTGGGTCTTTGTAAATGGATTTGTGCTTCCCCAGTGGAATCTTGATCTTTTCAGGACGCAGTCTTTCATCTGCAACATATTTCTTTTGTTCTTCCATCCCATTTTCCAAGCCGCGTGCTTATCAAAACCACAGAGAATGGTGGCAAGCTTGTCTAATCCTTGCCATAACACACAGAAAACTGAACCCAGAGCCCAGACTGGGGTCCTGCCCAAAGCCACAGCCAACAGCCACCGCTTCTGCCTCACAGGCACAGTGTGAGAGGGTGCAGGGGTGGAAATGCAGGCGGGGGGGTGGAGGCTGTGCAAGCAGATGCCCAGTGGCTCCAAAGCCGGGCTGGCCCCTCACCCTTGGGGTGCCTGGGAGGCTAAGACAAGCCCCAGCTGTTGCGAGTGGGGATCGTCGCGTTCGTGGCTGGCTGCCCAGAGGTCCGTCTCCCTGCAGGCGCCAGGAACGGCAGCGCTTTGCTCAGTACCAGGCAGAGTTGAAGGACATCCAGCACAGGGTGCAGGCCCGGCCCTACCTGTTCCAGCAGGCCATGCAGGTGAGGCGAGGCGCCGGGACCAGCATACAGCCTCCCTGAGAACAGCGCTTCTCATTGGCTGAGCGTGTAGGGATGGAAGGTGAGAGTGGGCCCCCTTAGGTAGGACCCCGGGGCCACTGCCCTTCTGGAAGCCCTGGGACCTTCACACACAGCACCACCCGTCCCCAGCAGCCTTGGTGCGGAGCAGGACCCCTTCTCTTTCTCCAGGTCAATGCCCGGCTCACGGTGACTCGTCACTTCTCCCAGGTGCTGTCAGCACTGGGACTCAATGAAGAACAGCTGCTAGCCGAAGCAGGCAAGGGGAACGCAGAGGGCAGCTCCAGGAAACCCAGGTGAGGCCGTCTGGCTAGCCAAGGAACCGCCTACAGGGAGAGGGGCGGGGGCACTGCCAGTGCTCTGGGCCCTACACGCTTTCCACTAGCCACGGCCCTGCCCACCTCCAGCTTAGGCTCGACATCTGGGGAGACGCTGAGAAAACTCGCCAGCAGCCATGCTGGTCCGCCCTGAATCTAAGTCCTGCTGGCCCACCCCCTCGGCCTGCAGGACGCTGCCTAGCTCTAGCGGTCAAAAGGCCCTTCCCTGGGCCCTGCCCTCCAGGTCACCCGAGGAACACAGGATCGGGGTGATGTTCTCCAGATCCTGATAAAGAAACTAAGGACCTGAGGGGCAGGGTCTTGTCCAAAGCCACAGGAGCAGATAAGCAGCAAAGCCAGTCTAGGAATCTGTGGCCAAGTGAGTGGCCATATACCAAGCCCCCATTATGGGGTGGGGCCGCACAAGTCACCTCCTGTATACTGTCCCTTGTGCTTTAGAACAATGTGGTGCACAGCAGGGATTACGAGGCCCATTCATAAGTACACTGAGGCTTGGGGCGGGGGTGGAAATCACCTGCTCAGGGTCTCACAGCAGAGGAGCCAGATTGAACCCCCATTGTCAATGATGGGACTTCCCCTCCTACAGCCCAGGTCTCCTTGGGCATGGGGGTGGGGAGCTAGAAACCCACGGTCTCTACCTATGTCTTCATCTTTAAGGAGCCACAGGTCAATGGGGGTGAAAATGGAGCACTCTTCTGAAAGCTCCCCAAAGACAGAAACCGCTGGAAGCCAGCCCAACAGGCACTCCACTCCAAGCCCAGACCAAGAGGATAATGATTAAATGCTTTGTGGAAACACACTGCGTAATTTCTGGTGGCGCTGGGAAGAGGCTGCAGGTTGGGAGTAGGAGGTGGCAAGTGGGCAGGCGGCGGGCTTAGCTGGTCCCATCACCCAGGAGCTCTGGCTGCTGGAGCTCCGCCCCCCTCCTGCCTCCGCCAGCACACTCGGCCCAGCCTCTGCTCCCTGCTCCCGAGTGGGTGGTCTCATAGGGCAACAGCTGCGACTCCTCCACCTCCATTTCCATCTATGCTGGCTCTTAGGAACTCAAGAGTGAATAGGACCTAACGGCCTCTCCCTTTGAGAACTAACTCCTGGGGTGTGTGGGGTGGGGGGTAGGGGTTGGACCTTTAAAGGGGTACATACCCCACACCATAACAGGCCAGACAGAGTAACTGTGTGGGGTGGGGGTGTGAGAAGGGATTATGTGACCTGAGCTTTGTTTGTTTGTTTAGAAATTTATTTATTGAGAGAGAGAGAGAGAGAGAGAGAGAGGACATGTGGGAGTGGGGTCGCAGCAGAGAGAGAGAATCCCAAGCAGGTTCTGCACAGCCAGTGCAGAGCCAGATGCGGGGATCGAACTCAGGAACCTTGGGATCATGACCCCAGCCGAAGTCTAGAGTCGGAGGCTCGGATGCTCAACCGACTGAGCCACCCAGGCATCGCAGTCGGGCTGTTATGCCCAGATCTCAGTATCCTCAACGACCAGAGACCACTGGGGAGACCAAGTCACGCATGCAAAGGCAAAGGGCTTTATTACGGGCTCAAGCTCGGGCTCACAGACTTTACCAGCGCAGTGGATCCGTGCCGTGAGCCCCGAACAAAGGCAGAGTAGGGTTTTTATGGGGTTTGTGATGGGGGAGTTACAGAAGTTGTGACATGGGAACAGTGATCCAATCATAATTATACAACATCATTGACAGCGGGTTTAACCATACACATTGTCTAGAGTATTCCTTACTTTTGGTGGGATCCAATCACAACATTTAGAGTACCTTTAAATTTAACCAATCACAGAGCGAGCCTAGGGTCTTGTTCGGCGCCTATTGGGTTACCTTTAACATTAGGTACCAGAGTTTTATCTATAGTTGCTGGCCTTTCTTGATTGGGCGTTGCAAGGGTGGTGTGGGGGAGTGATGTGGTGGGCGGTTTCTCTGGTCTTGGGCAAAGTGTAACTGCCTGAGAGTTTCAGGGAGACTGAAACTTAGGCCTTCTAGTTTAGAGGGGACACTTAAAGCCTGTCATGGAGTCAGTGTGGTTTAGACTTGTGTCCTTACAGGGCTCTTATAGTAACTTCAAGAGATATCCTCTCAAGGGGAAATAAAACGCTCACATACACAGATGTGCCGAAATTCTACACTCAATTTCAGGGGGTTCAGAGTACAGGTTAAAAAGCCCAATTCAAGGATCGTGGGAAGGCGGCGGGGCTCGGGGGCCGGACTGTTTTCCCCGGTGTCAGGAGACCACGCTGCGTTGTCTGACACCCGACGGAGCCACGCCCTTGGGGAGTCCATTAGGAGGACGCCTCCCGGCCGCTGTTCACAGCAAGTCCGTGAGACAGGGAACGTCCCGCGCCGGGCAGGGCCTTTCACCTCCCAGGTTGCTGGCTTAGAGCGCTTGGAGTTGAGAGACCTGTAACCCCCTAGATACGGCCGACCCACCTACAGCTGCGCATGCGCGGCCAGCCTACCAGCTTAAAGACGGCCACGCCCACCGAGGCGGCCGCTGTGGCGCATCTGGGCTCTGGTCCCCGGCCTTCCCATGAACCTTTGGGGCAGGCTCCGAAGGGAACGACGGAAGCCGCCGCTCTTGGTTTCCGGCAACACGGCTGCGGGCTGCCGGGCGACCCGGAAGTGTTCCCATTTTGCGTCGTCGGGGCTCGGCGACGGCCGGGCTCGGGGCGGACGTACCACCATGGGGTCGTCAAAGAAACACCGCGGGGAGAAGGAGGCTGCCGGGACGACGGCGGCGGCCAGCACCGGAGGCGCCACCGAGCAGCCGCCGCGGCACCGGGAGCACAAAAAACACAAGCACCGGAGCGGCGGCGGCGGCAGTAGCGGCGGCGAACGACGGAAGCGGAGCCGGGAGCGTGGGGGCGAGCGCGGGAGCGGGCGGCGTGGGTCCGAGGCCGAGACCCGCAGCGGCGCGCACGGGCGGGAGCGCAGCCAGGCAGAGCTCTCGGAGCGGCGCGTGAAGCGGGAGAAGCGCGATGACGGCTACGAGGCCGGTGAGGGGCGTGGCCTGTGGAGGGCGGGCCGTGCCCGGGGTCCGGGAGCGGGAGGGCCTGGGCACCCCCAGACTGTCTCCGTCAGCACTTACTGAAGGGTCTTCTGTGGTTTTTTGGGGTTGAAGGTCGTCTCCCTCTACTGTACTCCGCAAGGGCAGAGATTCTGTTTTCCTTGAGATTGGCACATCCCAGGCGCCCAGTAAATGTGTTGAGTGAATGAATGAATGAAGTTGCCCCAGCGTGTGTAGAGATGGGAAGAAAGCTGGTATTGAGCAATCGTGTAGGGCTCATAGCAGGGATAGGAAACAAGGGTCTGAACACAAAGGATCCTGTAGAACTTTGAATATTGTTTTGAGGGTGGTCAGGAGCTGTAGATTTGAGTCAGGGAGTTGATCATATATCGCAAATATCACCGTATTGAGAACTGACTCGAGGGTAGTCAAGAGCAGAGGCCAGGTGGGGCCACCGAGGCAGCAGCGGTATGGAGAGACCCCAACAGATTGAAATAGTGTTTGGGGGGAGGAATTAAGACATCTTAGCACTTGGGTGAGGATGGGAAGAAGGAGATGAAGACGACCTCTTGAATTTTGATTGGAGCAACTAGGTGGGTGGTTGTGGCGTCTACTGAAATGGAGTAGTCTGGAAGAGACGCAAACGTTTGAGGGGAGAGAATTCAGGTTTGGAGAGTGTTGCATTTGATGTGCAAGGTTTGGGAGTATTTAGGTGGTAAACGAAGCCCACTGAGAGTGAGGAGTGGTCAGTAGAACCTAAGAAACACTAAACTGTTAGTAGTAAGTGGAGCCAGATGTTACAAAAATACTTTCCTATGGAAATGCAGAAAAACCGGGGCGCCTGGGTGGCTCAGTCGGTTAAGCATCCGACTTTGGCTCAGGTCATGATCTCACGGTTTGTGGGTTCGAGTCCCGCGTCGGGCTCTGTGCTGACAGCTCAGAGCCTGGAGCCTGCATCAGATTCTGAGTCTCCCTCTCTTTCTGACCCTCCCCTGCTCATGCTGTCTCTCTCTCTCTCTCTCAGAAATAAATAAAACCTTAAAAAAAATGCAGAAAAACGGGAGAATCTTGTATCATGGGGTCTGTGGGAAGACAGTATGAGAAGGAATAATCAACGGTGTCACCACAGAAAATGAAGGAAATTTAAGGGCCACCTGGGTGGCTCAGTCTGACTTTGGCCCAGGTCATGATCTCATGGTTTGTGGGTTGGAGACCTGTGTTGGGCTCTGTGCTGACAGCTAGCTCAGAGCCTAGAGCCTGTTTCAGATTCTATACCTCCCTCTCTCTCTGACCCTCCCCTGCTCGTGCTGTCTCTCTCTCAAAAATAAATAAAACATTAAAAAAAAAAGGAAACGAAGGAAATTTGAACTGAAAAGAACTCATTGGATTTAGAAATAAAGAGGCTGGTGACCTTGATGACAGCCAAAAGAAGTTGGGATCCAGGGTCCTGGTGAGATGTAGGGGAGGAAGTAGTTTGCGGGATGGGGAGGCAGGGAAGGATGGTGGCAGCTGGTTGGGAAACTCCATCCGGTGGTATCTAGCTTCTGTCCTTGGTGGTCTGTGAAGTTTGTTGCTGATTATGAGGTGGGCAGAGAAGTTCTGAAATGCTTCTTTATCTCATTCTCCTCAATGTTTATCATAATGCAGGCACCAATAAGGGTATTTCTTGACTGGATGAATTGCACAGAGGACACAGCCCTGCGGCTAAGCCTGGTCCCTGACCTGTGAGGAGAAACAGACCTGGGAATGATAGGGGAGGACAGTTCATTCCGAGCAATAATTGAACAGGATTTCAAGAAGGAGGTGGCATTTGGTCTTTGCATTTGGATAGGATTTCGTCAGAGTTTGGCCAGGGAGGGCAGTGCAGGCTGAAAACAGAGTATTCAAAAGTGGAGGTGGAGTGGGGGGAGGGTTGGGGTGGGGGGCGGTGCCTGCGTGGCTCAGTTGGTTAAGTGTCTGACTTTTGATTTCCGCTCAGGTCATGATCTCATGGTTCATGAGTTTGAGCCCCACATTGGGCTCTGTGCTGACGGCGCGGAGCCTGCTTGGGATTCTCTGGCTCACCCTCTCTTCCCTCCCCTACTTGCATGCTCTCTCTCAAAATAAATGGACTTTAAAAAAGGGGAGAGGAGGCAGAGTAAAGGATGCACAGAGATTGGACCTTTTGGGTCAGGAAAGGAAGGTTATGTAGAGAGTTGGGGTCTGAGGTAGGAGGAACGACCAGGGTGGAGAAAGGCCACTCTTTCAGGGTGTCGCAGCAGGCCCGGGTGCTGGTGAGGGGCCCTCCTCTTTGGGCCTGTGTTCAGCTCCCAAACCAGGGTTCTTGTCCTTCCAGCTGCCGGCTCCAAAACTAGCTCAGGAGATGCCTCGTCACTCAGCATCGAGGAGACCAAGTAAGTTCTGTTTCCCTTACGTTTCTGCTTTTATTTTCTGAGACAGACAGCTTCTGGGACAGCTTCCCGGGGGGCCTTTCCCACACTAAAGCATTCTGATTGGAATCGGAAGTGGCATCTAACCATCTGAGTTACAGAAGAGGGCGCTAAGATCCAAGAGGAAGGATGGCCTTCTGCTGGTTAAGGGGCAGGCCAGGCCGAGCTCCTGTGCTCCCCAATCTGGAGGCCAGTGTCCTTCCCAAAGTCCTAGGCTGCCTGGGTCAGGTCCTGCTTTGGGGACCCTTATGACCTCTCAGTCCCATCTTATGTTCACCCCTGTCTGTTGTGAAATGTCTTTCATGCACCGTCGACGGCTCCTAACGCCTGTATTTCTTGCCCTCAGTAAACTC